GTCTCTAGGTTCCCTTGCGCTCGCATTTGTGCCGTCAGCTTCTTCCCGATTAGGACGCTCTGCGCTCCCGTATCCACTACCGCGTTTTCTACCAAGATTCCCCTGACCGCCACTGCTTTTGGTTCCACCACCAAGGCTGTGGGCTGACAGACTAGCCTTTCCTCGGGGTGACGCCGTGCGGTGCTGACATTCCCTTTATTCTCCTGCCGCCTGGAAATTCTCCGCTCTTGTGATTTCTGCTCCGCTCTGCCGTCTACCCCTCCGCTGCGCAGCCCCAGGTCTTCCCTCTCCCTTGGCGGCATAGCCATGGTCCCGTATTCAGGTTCCCCTTCCTCAGAATCTTCCCCTTCGTCATCCTCCCAAGCCAGCAGAGCTTTCTCAGGGTCCTCACTGATCCCAGATTTCTCCATCTGAGCTTTCAGCTTCGCCAATTCTCGCTCTAACTGCTGCTCCCGTGCAGATTTCCCCTTCGCCCTGTCTCCCTTGCTGTAACATCTAGCTTCGGTATGGCCTCTCTTCCCGCACCCCGTGCAGGTCGGCGCCTTAGGGCAGTCACGCCTGAAATGCCCCTTTGCTCCACAGGTGTCGCATATTATTCCCACCGTACAATCCCTCCGAAGATGTCCTTGCTCTCCACATTTATGGCAGCGTCTCAGATCTTCTGATGACCTCTCTTTCCTCTCTTCCTCTCCCCTTCTTCCTTCCATAGCTGCCCAGGCTGGCCGTCTCCGCTCGTTCGGTCTGCTCGAACTCGACCCCTGCATCCCATCATAAAATCTCTTCCCTTCTTCCACTTCCTTCGCTACCTTGTAAAACTGCCGCAGCGTAGCTCGTACTCCCTGAACGTACAGTTGACTCCTCATGTCGCCTATCAGGTCCTTGTCCAATCCGTTGACAATTTTTGTCACTAAGAGGCGCTCCTCCATACACCCCATATCCTCCGCCAGTTCCAGCAGCCTTTGTAATAGGCTAGCAGCGACTCCGAGGTGGCACGCGTGAAGTTTTGGAACTCCGTCATCCGTTCAGCAGAGTGCCCCGGGAATTGCTCCTGTAAACTCTCCAGAAACCGGTCAGTTATCATCGCAGGTGAGAAATCGCCTCTCTTGCACTGCATCAACAGCCCTTGCCTTTCCACGCGGTAGTGAGTCAGGGCCTCGCCTTTCAGCGTCCTCCCCAAACCTCTGAAGAACTCGATAGGATCCAGGCTCTCCCTCTCCCAAAGGTAACGCAGGTCGTCTATCATCATCAGATAATTCTTGAGCGTGGGCTCCTCCCCTGGAGTCCCGAGAAACGGTCTGGTACTTCAATCTTCGGTAGAGCTGCGTTCATCATACGGCCCGTCCCCCAGCTCGTGTTCCCTCTGTCCCCGCTGTCTGCAGGCCGACCACCTCGCCTAGCTTCAGTAGCTTCGTATCCGTCTGCTGAAAAGCTGTGGTACGCTTCTCCTCCCCGCTGACTACGCCGTTCCTCTTGATGATCATCTTCCCCGCGCTGACTGCGTCATTCTTCTTGATACTCTTCTCTTCCTTGAGCAGGATTATCCCCCCGAGATCCACTCCTAACGTGGCCAATTCCACTCCCACCAGCGGGTGATCCACCAGTAGCACTAGGCGGCAGCTCTCCTTCTCGGTTTCCTTCCCTCTCTCGATCTGATCCCTGACTCCCGCGAGCGTTAGCATCGCCCTCTTCAGCACGGAATCCAGGTGTCCTGGTTGGCAGGCCCTGTCCCTCCATCACCCTTGCAGGGAATCGCAATCCCGAGCGCAGCTGATGAGTGTGCAGATCTTGATCGTGCCTACTGATTCCTCACGGCGCATCACCGTGAGCGACTCAAGGCCTCTAGCTTATCTGCTGTAGACAGTCGTCGATCTCCTTTTTGCTTGTATGTAGCAAGCATAACACTCCCCCTCAGGGGCTCCGTCAGATTGCTTATAGCTTCTCCTACTGCTAGTTCCCTCTGGATTAGGAAAGCAAATTGCAGTAAACGAGAAACATACAAGCAAAAAGCAAGAAGCCCGAGTGCTACTCCTGCCTACATCTATTCCCACCCCCTGCCTAGGTTGCTTCCCCCACAAGCAAGCTCTTGTGCACCTAGCGAGTCAGCCGAGCTGCTCGCGAGGTCTCCAAGGTGCTAGCTGGGTTCCCACTGGGCCCACTAGGCATGCACCGCCTTCCAGCCTGGTGACTTCGAATTGAATTCCCAGGCTGGCATTGAATTCGCCTTCTAGCCTTGTGACTTCGAAATTGAATTCACAGGCTGGAATTGAATTCGCCTCCACCAACCTCCTTGAATTCGCCTCCCCCTAACCACCTTGAATTCCCCAGCTACTCGGCTCTGCAGTACAGTACAATACATTCCAAGCACACAAATGAAATTAGAGTACAAAAGCGGTAAACTATAGTACACCCTCACCTTGGCTGCTGTGGTATTCACACTTAGTTGCCAGCTAAGTGTTGATAACACGACACAAGCACATGGAGTGGCGCTATATTTGCCTGCAGAAGATGGTGAAGCGCAAGAATATTGCGCTGCAGTACATATTCGACCACCGAGCTGCTGGCCAACTTCCTTAGCATGGCCTTGCACTTTGGCATTCAACCAGTGCTCCATCGTAATTAGCCAGGTTCACCTCGCCAACGTCAGCGACGACAACGTGTAATAGTCAATGCCACGTCCTTTAACAAGGCTGGTACGGGGAATGGCGAGCAGAGGTGTGCACGCCGACGAAGTATCCCCATGCATTTTATTACGTACCATATTATCCCAGATAGAGCTCATCTGTGCTTATAAAAAAAATGCGTTTTTTTTTTTTTTTTTTCATGAGGCGAGCTTCTAGTTGAGTAAATTTTATACGCGCGTGCACCTATATAATGACAAATGCTTATATATAAAAGTTATAGCACCAAAATCTAGGTCTTGTCCTTGTCGATTCGATCGAGTCAAATTTACACGGGGTCGTGATCGGAAATATTTTGCAAGTTGGGAGGGAATGGTTTCTTGCTAGCAAATACAGTCAGTATGAGTTAGTAGGCACCCCTGACAGCATATTGATTGGACGCACAGCCCATGACTGAGTCGAGGTAAATCTTTTATCATAATTATACATATTTGCATATGAAAAATCAGCATTCGCTTATAACAAGTCACACACTTTTAGGAGATGTGCTTCTATTGGAAGACCGTCCACAAGCATATTGTTCCAGATACAAGCATACGCAATTTTAATAAGGTTGCACCTTCTATCCATGTTATTTTGGGCCAGTTGTGTGTATGCCCAACTTTAAGTTGGGCAGGGGAGTGTCGAAGAGAAAGGCCTCGCCCTCGCTTGGCCGCAGTCGTTTTCAACGCTGACATGGTGGATTTGATGAAGGGGTCGTCGAACAGGCTTTCGCTGTTCGACAATAGTAATCGTCAGTGAAGCCCTTCCTTGTACGACAATATTTCGTCGTCAACGGTCGGACCATGCCGGTCGATGTGAATGGTCGTCAACAAGCTCATCAGCTGGTCGACTAGCAGACTAACAATTGCTTATCAACGAACTCGTTGACAAGTGCTGGTCGACGAGCTCTGTTCAAGAGCCTTGTCCCGGCGAAAGCTGGCCGACAAAGCATCGTCAAACTGGTTGACCGAACTCGCTGAACTAGAAAATTCGGTAGGTGTGCGAATGTTGCCCATGAGGTTATGGTAGAGGAGACCTCCGGAATGGCGTCACGTACTCGACGATGGGCGTCGGGTACGGGTACTACCTCGCACATGCACAATATGCAATCGTCACACATGTACCAACTGGGCAGATGATGCGCATGTGCATACATGTTCACCTGCGGTCTGCAGTGCTAACAGACTGCTTTGCAGTGCTTGAGGGTAGTCGCCCTGCTGGACTCTTATCGGCAGATAACCTTGCTCTATCGATTTGCTTCCTACACTGTTACCAAATGTTCCTTCAACCTCCTTATTGAACTCTTGCCAAATCTCCCAGCAAACACATAAACCTGCATGTGTGTTAGCAAGGCTGCGTTCATCCCTTACCTCATGGTTGCATGTCCGTTTATTGAGTATAGCTATGACCTTTTACTTTCTCTTGTGATCTTATATTGATCAATGTATGTGATTGTTAACATCACGTCTATCATTTTACATTCACTCTAAAAATGTCATTAATCATTTCCGGTGTGCATCACCTTGTTATCCGTATCAACCCTGAACAAGATCCTTACTAGGGGCGCATCCGAAGCCCATGCCAAACATAAGGTTTGATACGAAGTGAATGTTGGGAAGACACGAAGTGGCTCAAAATCCAGGCAAATTAAAGTTCGGAAGACACAAACTTGGTCAATTCGTGTCTTCCAAATCTCCAACTTCGTATGTGACGCAGACTACGAATACACCCTAAGTCACTATAGGTTTCTGTATCGACACAAGTGTCTCAATGCCGTAACAAAAAAAATGTACCGTTTTGCACCGCATTACATCTAAGAATCAAACATTCCCACGGCATCATACTCCGTTGTTTGAGATGCTTGTGACACGCTTCAGAAATGCATCCTTATAGCACTCTATAAAGTTGTTACATTTAGTGTTTGTGTTCAAGATTTTTTACAAACAAAAAAAAACCAATTTTGTTAGAAGTATAAGTATTCCTAAATAATAAGCTCCCAACACAGTTGATTTGTTTCATTCCAGCATGCGTGACAAATTCGTGGAAGTTCTGCTTAGCTTCATTGAGTTATGTAAAATAAGCAAAAGTAGGAGTTACAATCTCAAAAGCCCTGGTTGCGACGAGTCCATGCGAGCGTCGCTAGTTTCGTATATATCGGTGATAACGAACGAGTCTCAAGATTGATGGTCAGCGGGACAGGGACGCAGTTACAGGGTTCCTGGACGGTGTGGCAGGAAAGTGTCCCGGGTGGATCAGAAAAACTCGGGCATTTCGAAGTTCTCGTGACGTGGCAATCCCTTATTGCTCATCTGGATAGCCTTCGCTTTCAACCTGATAGCGATGTCAGCAAACCCTTTTTTTCCTGCCCGAGAACTTGGTTGTGTCATTCGTGCCACCTACGAACCAATAGGGCAACTTCGAGGTGGATTTGCGGGCCGATTCGGGCAGATAGACGAAAACATTGGGAAAATCATTCTGGGGGGGTCATATTGTCTCGGTCTCTCAGAATTCGGTAAGCTCCGAGCATCCCTGTGACTGCATCCTTCACCTGCTCCTTGCTTCACCTTTCGTTCTCACCCAAACACACCGTAGCCATGGCTGCCACCGCCGCTCTCTCCAGCTCCTTTGCGGGTGTCGCTCTTCCCACCCTGCCCGCCAGGAAGACCGTCTCCGTGTCCCGGATCGTGAAGGTGACCGCCAGCGGTGGCAAGAAGATCCAAACCAAGACCCCCCTGGGTTAGTATTTTCAATATATAGCTCAATTAGGCTGGCAGCGGTTGATTAGACAATGAAAGCGATTGGAGGATCGGTTTAGTCATTGCTGACTCCGAACTCTGGGCTTGCTGTTACGCCTTCCGTGCAGGTCCCAGCGGTGACTACAAGTTCAAGGTGGACCCCTCCGGCTCTCCTTCCAAGGGCAAGGGTGCTTACCAGTTCGCCAAGAAGTACGGTGCTAACGTCGATGGCTACAGCCCCATCTACACCCCGGAGGAGTGGTCTGCTAAGGGTGACACCTACGAGGGTGGTAAGTATTTGCATTCGGAAATATTGGGTCTTCCCCGTATACAAGTATGTCACTTTCTTCGGAAGCTTAATTCTTCCGTCATTTCATTTGTGCAGGCAAGGGTGGTCTGCTCCTGTGGTTCCTCACCTTCGGCGGCCTTCTCGCCATCGGTGCGCTCCTCATCGTCAACACGAGCGCTCTTGCCTAAATAGCTCGCAAAACCTTACTGTGTATAGGCAAGATACTTGTTGTAGACGAGATGCATTCACCATTAAACTAAAACAAAAAAAAATGCTTACCTTTTAAAATGCGGGTCTGTCCGAAATAATGATCTTCTGAGTTCCGTGAAACGAAACCTGAAAGTCTTACACAGTCAACTTGCTCCTCCGTAAATCAAGAACATGTGGCAATTTCATTGTTCCCAAATATGCATGCACATATTTTCTGGTTCATGCGCCATCTGCGTTGTGTCTGGTATTACTGACGCCCTGTTTAGATCGCACCTTGCCATGAATACGGTTCGTTTGGCCCATGTGTTATTGAGGTCTACGGGTTTGTGGTACCTTCTGTGGTGTTTGGTGCACATAATGTGTGGAGCTAATTTACTTTCTATTGTCCATAGCAATAACAACCAATACAATCATTTGTTGACATGGAAAGGCACTGGCAGCTCAGTTGAAGGACACTCGAAGGCTATCCACCACTTTCTCTGACCTGCATGGTGCCAGAATCAAAGGGTTGGAGGTCACAGTAAAGCAGGAGAAGCTAAGGATGTCCATTCCAATGCCTAACAGAACCTGCACACCACCCGACAGTTCTGACACAGCTTTCTCTAAGCCACACCGACCCACCAGCTCACCACACTGTTGAAGAGGAGAGTGGCCGACTGCTTGCAGCAACTGCAGAGCAATAGCACCCACACTGGCCCTGACCACGATGTACCCCCCTTAGGGATCCCCCTACCCCTGAACCCCTCCACCCCTCCAGCTCACCAGCCCTCCTGTCTGGGGTGTGTGCCCGGCGTCCTCCAGCACGCGGAGAGTGACAGCAGCGGCGTTGGCCTTGGCAACGGTCTGAGCCTCCCCCATGGGGATGTACCGATTGTTCTTGCCCACACCTCTCTCCGCCCCTCTACCCCCCCAACCCATCCCCACCACCCCTCTTCCCCTGTAGCACTCTACCCTTCTACCCCTCTACACCACAACCGCCCCACCCCACCCTTCGAGCTCACCAGTCCTCCTGAGGCGTGTGTCCGGCGCCCTCCAACACGCGGAGAGTGACCGATGAAGAGTTGGCCTTGGCAATGGCCTGAGCCTCGGCGATGGGGATGTATGGGTCGTCCTTGCCCCACGCGATCACTGTTGGCACCGTCCAGCTGTGCAGTGCGGTGGAGAGGATAGCAGAGGGGTGTATGGAGAGGGGGTGTATAGGGGTTAGAGAGGCAGTGTGATGTGACAGCAATGAAATTGGCCTTGGCAATGGCCTAAGCCTCGGCGATGGGGATGTATGGGTCGTCCTTGCCCCTCGCGATCACTGTTGGCACCGTCCAGCTGTGCAGTGCGGTGCAGTGCGGTGGAGGGGATGACAGGGAGGTGTATGGAAGAAAGGTGCAAAGGGGTTGAAGAGGCAGTGTGATGTGACATTGGCAGGAAAGGAAGAGGCAAGAGGCAAGAGGTGGAGATGAGAGGAGACGATGAAAGGTTGCTCAATTGCAGAACGAGGAGGTGTTCATCCAAACTTGCTGGGACAGGAGAGGAGAGGAGATGAGAGGGCAGGAGAGGAGAGGAGAGGGGAGGAGAAGAGAGGAGAGGAGAGGAGAGGAGAGAAAGAGTGACAACATACCTCGAGGAAGAGAGCGTGTTTTGGATCCTCTCCCCAAGCTGCTTGGGATTGGCCTTGCGGGCCGTCTCTAGGAGGGCTGGGAAGAGCAGGGCAAACAGGGCGAGGGGGACGAAGGGAGAGAGCGCAGGCTGAGAGGGACGAGAAGGGGAGGAAGGAGGAAAGGTGGAAGGCATGCTAAGCGTGTGGTGAGGGGAGGAAGACTGATGGCCGTGCATGCTGCTTCCAGCTGACTGAGATGAATAGGAAGGGCACGGCATGGCATGTGATTGAGGGATGGCATGGCATGTGGTTGGGGCATGGCTTACAAAAGCCGGGCTCTCCACTGTCGAGGTAAGGCAGGCGATACACATCTGCATTGTCCAGCTCCAGGGAGTAGCTGCAGGGGGGGAGGAGACAGTGGAAGGAGGGGTGGGAACCGTTCTCAGCACCTTGACAGCATTGCCCTGCTTCAGGTGATAGCTGGCGGTGGGGCTGGATGGATGGATGGATGGATGGATGGATGGATGGATGGATGGATGGATGGATGGATAGGTGGATGGATGGATGGGTGGATGGATGGGTGGATGGACAGATGGTTGCAGAATCTATTCCCAGCCTTCCCTGTCACCCTGACTCGATCTCACTCTTCCCACTCACAATTCACCCTATGCATGCTCCTGCCCTCCACCCACCCTACCACCCTGCGCGCTCCTGCCCTGCACCTAGAGCACTCACGGGCTGCCCTTCTCAATGAAGCGCTCTGCCAGAACGGCGTTCTGGCACTGGAGTGCTCTTCCCACTCACAATTCACCCTATGCACCCTCCACCCACCCTCTCACCCTGCCCTGCACCCTCCCTCTGCACTCACGGGCTGCCCTTCTCAATGAAGCGCTCTGCCAGCACGGCGTTCTGGCACTGGAACTCGCCCACGAAGGGCAGTCTGGGGGTGCAGGGGGAGGGGGGTGGAGGGAGAGGAGAGGGAGTGAGAGGAGAGGGAGTGAGAGGAGAGGGAGTGAGAGAGAGAGGGAGTGAGAGGAGAGGGAGTGAGAGGAGAGGAGTGAGAGGAGAGGGAGTGAGAGGAGAGGGAGTGAGAGGAGAGGGAGGAGAGGAGAGGGAGTGAGAG